CTCACGTGAGCCACAATCCCAGCCCCAAGAAGATGGCCTTTGACTAGACATGAGGGAGGGGAAGGAAGGCACCAAGTAGATAACTGTGGGAGAGCACTTCAGGCAGAGGGATGAGTCACAGAAGGACTCTGAGCTGCCTGCAGAAAGCTAAGGTTGTGTGTGGCTCCAGGAGGGAGCTAAGGTTGTGTGTGGCTCCAGGGGTGGGGAACCGCAGAGAGCTAAAGGGGATTAGATGGTGCAAAAACTCTGGCTCTTGTTCCATCCCAAGGGGCCAAGAAATGGGAAGTTCAGTTCAGCTGAGAGGGGCAGTCAGAACACACTGACCAACCCTGAACCCTYTGTCTCTCTGAGCCCCTCACCCCAGGGCCCAGCCTGGGCTTACCTGTGCTGTGAGGACATGAGAGACAGGCAGGAGACACACTTCTCTCATCCATGGGCTTCGAGGGAAGCAGGAAGGATGGGGACTAGGGGAGCAGCTGCCAGAAGGGAGAAGCTGAGGACAGGACAGGAGGGACACTAAGGTGTGCCTGGAGGAGGACAGGAGGCTGAGATGGGGAATGAGGTGGGGTACTTACCGCCTCTGCCCACCTACTTGAGCCATATCTTGTCCTTCAGATTTGTAGATGCTGTGAAGCCAAAGAGAGGTCACTGGGCTGTGGGATGCAGAACACCATCCCACATTCCCATCAGACTCAGTCCCACAGGGGAGAAGTCACTGGGCAGCTAGCTCCTGCTAGTGCCACCCCCTCAACTCAGCCAAATTGGCATGACTGGGTGTGCCTCAGCCAATAGCAAGAGGCCCTGGAGTCCCCACCCCTCTACCCATGCTGGCCTCAGGACCCCTGACTTCTGGGCCAGGCCCTTCAGAGGTCCTCCTGACCTTCCCAARTCTGCAACACACTCAGTTTTGGACAGTGCAAGGTCTGCAGCCTCCCCTCAGTGACTCCAGYCTCTCATAACAGATATCATACCTTTAATCTAACCTCAAGCTCACTTGTTGATGATTTAAACTGTGACTTTCCAGGACCTCTTCCCTACACTCATGCACACAGGATGTGGCCCTGAAAACTCATTTAGCCCATGCCTCCACCTCAGAACAAAGACTAACCCCCCCACACACACCTTTCCTCAAACATCCCCCCCCACAGCCACTCCTATTTTTCTCTCAAACTGACAGCATGAAAATAACCCTTGCGTTTTCCTCATCCTATTTTCTCTCTCTCTCTCTCTCTCTCTCTCTCTCTCTCTCTCTCCGCCCCCCTCCCCGCACCCAGGGATTGAACCCAGGGGTGCTTAACCACAAAACCACATTCCCAGCCCTTTTTTATATTTTATTAGAGACCAGGGTGTCATTGAGTTGCTGAGGCTGGGTTTGAACTCACTATACTTCTGCCTCAGCCTCCCAAAATACTGGGATTACAGGCATGTGCCACCGTGCCCAGCATGACCTCACTCTCTAACCTAATCTCCTCTGACTGCAGCACAAATTCATATCCTCAACTCTGAAGGCAGAAACTCTCCAGCACCAAGGGAGGGGGACCCCAGGGAGAAGATGCTTCTGCAAGCTAACAGTTGGCCTGTCGGTGACCTGCCTCCCTTTTGCCTTGGTCCAGGGTAAATCCTCTACAGCTCTCTTCTCCTCCCACCCCTGTGCTCTACTGACTTCCCAGCCCAATGCATTCTCTCAGTCTGTTCCACCAAGCTGCTCTGGTCGTCCCAGAAGTCAACTAACAGGTAAGGAAACTGTGGCCCAGAGAGAGGGTGCTATGTGCTCATATCACACAGCAACACAGGACTGAACCAGAACAGAAAGCCAAGCCTTCAACTCCCCCAGTTGGTGCTTGTTTCACAGTCAATCCTTCAGCCACCTCCTCCCCACATGATTCCCCCATGGCCCTTCCAGGATTTCACCTTGAGGAGACCACCCTGCCCCAGTCCTGCCTGAATCCCCACTCACTCTGCTGAAGTGCCTTAGGTGTCTCAGCCTTTATCTTGGGGGCTTCTCAGTTAAAGTAGGTCTCAGTCTTGTTCCTCCATTACTGTCGGCACAGTCTGCACCCCCAGTTGGAGCTCAACTATCTCTTTGTCCCTCGTCCAGAGCCCGCCCCTCAGCCCTTCCCAGAGCAGCCTCAAGTGCTGCTCCTGCCCCTCCAGGGGAGAGGTCAGTAGGACAGGGTTTGGCCACTTGAGCCAAGTCCAGACGCACTGCCCAAAATAGCATTCTTCCGCCTGCCAATGGCACCCTGGAAAGTAAGTTCTGAGGCAGCCCTTGTGAAGTCAGTTGTGGAACTCTAGTTAGGCACTTTTCTCCTCTCAGTCCCAAGGGAAAGAACAATCCTCTAAGCCAGATGATGGGCCTGTCTCCAGGACCAGAGCCTAAGGTAGCTCTTCCAGGGTCCCAAACCTGGCAAAARGCTACAGAGGCTCCTAGGCCGCCAGCTACAGAATAGGAACTGGAGGTAGAAATTTCTGGAGATCAGTAGTCAACTGGGGGGCGGGGTGGGGGAATAGATTCTGAGTCCGTCCTCAGGGAGTCCTTGACCTGAAGTAGGGAAGGGGACTCGGGAACTGTCCCCAAGGGCCCCAATCTGAAGGGAAGGACACAAAAGCAATATTTTCAGGGAAATCCCATTCCAAATGGGAGGGGGAACCCAGGCCTAGTCCCCTAGGGGCCCCCTGTCTGAGGCCAAGAGGGGGAAACCTAGGCCCTGTCCTTAGGAAAATGCTTCCCTTAGGAAAGTCAGTGAAGGCCTCATGAAGGAGCAAAGCTGGACCGTGAGGGATCGAGCTCAGGGCTGTAGGAGCTCAGTGACCAAGATGGGGTCAGGATGGAGCCTGGAGACCAGCTGCAGTCTGAGAGGTTGGGGTTTTTTGTTTGTTGTTTTGTTTGTTTGTTKGTTGGCTGTACTAGAGATTGAGCCCAAGACTTCTCACTCGCTAGGCAAGCACTCTACCACTGAGCAACACCCTCAAACCTTTTTATTTTTTGGTACCAGCATGGCCACCCTCAACCCTTTTAAATTTTTTTTTTAATTTTGAGACATGGTCTTGCTAAGTCACTAGGCTGGCTTCAAACTTCCAATCCTTTTGCTTCAGATTCCYGAGGACCTGTCCGACCACACTTAGCTCCAAGAGATCTTTTAGAGTCAAATCTTGGCTGGGTCTGGAAGGACAAGGTGGCAGCTAGGGATTTGAGCAGATGATACAGTGATAAGACATAAGGAAGATGTTGCTGGTCTGCAGACCATAAGGACACCTGCCAATGGAGTGGTGGACAATAAGTCCAGGGAGCTTCTGAGGTCAGCACCCCCCAGGGTATAGAGTTCAGTTATCCAAAATCCAATCTATGTATGAAACTTTCCTCTAGAGGGTGCCAAAGACCAGGCCAGGTCTGGAACCTGCATAGCCTCAGTCGCTTCCCGATACACCCATCCCAACATGCTCAGCAGGTGGCAGCAGAGCAGGGGAGGGGGAGGCTGCAGTACCAGGGTTCCTGAAGTCAGAAGCCCTCCTTTAGGAACTAGCTTCCACTGCAGCCCCAGAAGTCTAAGGTTGTGCCCTTAATTCCCCTCTGGAGATCCTAAGTAAAATCAGGATGCTAGGTTTCTTCCTTCAGGGAGGAAGAGATATGCCTGGAAGAGGGGGGAGACCTGCCTTTATTCCTTTCCTGTGAATATTATCAGGGTAAGAGAGGAGATAAGGTCAAAAGTGAGATGGGATCTCAGGTAAGGCCAGAGCTTGGGCAGAATTAGATGGGAGTGAATTAGGAGCTATTTTGGAGTTGGGCCCTGGGGCAAAATTTTATGGGGCTGGATGCTTTAGAGGTAGTGAAGATAGTCCCTTCCCTCTTTGTGCTACAATATGACCCACCACTCTGATGCCTTGCACACTGACCTGGGTTTTTTGAGTCCAAGCTGAACATCAAATTCACTGTATAACCAACCCTGTTTCACTCCTTGCTTCAGGTTTCTGTTCCCCAATCCACAAAACAGGGTTGGAGTATATGAGGCCGCTCCCACTCAGCTATTTTTGGCATGCAGAGAGCACCCAGGAAAAGGTTTGGGAAGGCAACAACAGATGATGAACTAAAAAACTAAATTGGTGGAAATGATACATTGGTTGAAAATTAATCAGTAATATTGATGCAGCACGGGAATTTTTTTTGCAAACTTTAGTGTGTCCTTAAGCATTTGGTCCCTCTTTTAGCAATTGTTTAGTTTTCTAATTTTAATTTAGTCTGCCATGCAGGCGATTGCTAGTAAAATGTTGGAAATCACCCAGTGCTCATCAACTACTCACTTATTACCATACTAAAAGTTTTACAATGTAAACTGGTGATTGGGAATATTAATGTTCATCTAACCTAAAATTTAAATATATATGAAGATGGGCTGGGGATGGCTCAGTGGTAGAATGTTTTTCTAGCTTGTGACAGGCCATGAGTTCAATCCCCAGCATCCCCCAAAAAATTATTATTATTTTTTGGTTGTTGTTCCAGGGATTGAACCCACTAGTGCTTAACCACTAGCCACATCCCTTGCCTTTTTATTTTTTTTAAATTTTGAGACAGGGTCTCACTAAGATCCTTAGGGCCTCGTCAAGTTGCTAAGGCTGGCTTTGACTTGCAATCCTCCTGTCTCAGCTTCCTAGGATTATAGGCATGTGCCACCATGCTGGCTCTAATCTTTCTCTATATGTGCACATATATAAATCTCCTACCTACTGTGTCAATAATGAGTAGAATGATAATAATATTTTGTAAAGTACTTTTTTATTATTTTATTTTTTAAAAAATTTGTTCTACTTAGTTTTACATGACAGCAGAATGCATTTCAATTCCTTGTACACAAATGGAGTGCAAAATTTCAATTCTCTAGTTATACACAGTGTAGAGACGCACCATTCATGCAATCACATGTACCTAGGGTAATGATGTCCATCTTATTCCACCATCTTTCCTACCCCTACACCCCTCCCCTTTTTCCCAATCCAAAGATCCTCCATTCATACCATGCCCCACCTCACCCCCATCATAGATAGGCATCCACTAATCAGAGAAAATATTCGACCTTTCGTTTTTTGGGGGATTGACTTACTTCACTTAGCATAATATTCTCCAACTCCATCCATTTACCTGCAAATACCACAATTTTATTTTCTTTTTTTAAAATTTTTATTAGTTATTGATGGACTTTTATTTATTTATTTGTTTATATGCGGTGCTAAGATTTGAACCCATTGTGTATATATACCAAAGTTTCCCTATCCATTCATCTACTGAAGGGCATTTAGGTTGGTTCCATAATTTAGTTATTGTGAATTGTGCTGCTATAAACATTGATGTGGCTGTTTCCCTGTAGTATGCTGTTTTTAAGTCCTTTGGGTATAAACCTAGGAGTGGGATAGCTGGGTCAAATGGTGGTTCCATTCCCAGTTTTCCAAGGTTTCTCCATACTGATTTCCAGATTGGCTGCACCAATTTGCAGTCCCACCAGCATGTGGGAAAATGTGCCTTTCCCCCACATTTTCACCCACACTTATTGTTGTTTGTATTCTTAATAGCTAACATTCTGACTGGGGTGAAATGAAATCCTAGAGTAGTTTTGATTTGCATTTCTCTAATTGCTAGAGATGTTGAACATTTTTTCTTATGTTTTTTGATTGATTGTATATCCTTTTCTTTTTTTTTKWGAGAGAGAGAGAGAGAATTTTTTAATATTTATTTTTTAGTTTTCTGCAGTCACAACATCTTTGTTTGTATGTGGTACTGAGGATCGAACCTGGGCCGCATGCATGCCAGGCGAACGCGCTACCATTTGAGCCACATCCCCAGCCCTGTATATCCTTTTCCAAGAAGTGTCTGTTAAGTTCCTTGGCCCATTTATGGATTGGGTTATTTGGTTTCTTGGTGTTAATGTTTTTGAATGCTTTAAATATCCTACAGATTAGTGTCTCCAACACTTATTAATGCTTGTATTCTTTTTTTAATGTCATTTTTTTAATGAGAGAGAGAGAGAGATTTTTAATATTTTTTTTAAATGTTTCTAGGATAAAGTCTTTTTATTTTTTTTTTATTTTTTTTAAGAGAGAGTGAGAGGAGAGAGAGAGAGAGAACTTTTAATATTTATCTTTTTTTCTTTTAGTTCTCGGCGGACACAACATCTTTGTTGGTATGTGGTGCTGAGGATCAAACCCGGGCCGCACGCATGCCAGGCGAGCGCGCTACCGCTTGAGCCACATCCCCAGCCCTAATATTTATTTTTTAATTTCCTGTGGACACAACATCTTTCTATTTGTATGTGGTGCTGAGGAACGAACCCAGCGCCCCGCGCATGCCAGGCGAGTGCGTTACTGCTTGAGCCACATCCCCAGCCCAATGCTTGTATTCTTGATAACTGCCATTCTGACTGTGGTGAGATGAAATCTTAGAGTAGTTTTGATTTGCATTTCTCTAATTACTAAAGATGTTGAACACTTTTTCATATATTTGTTGGTTACTTGTATATCTTCTTCTGAGAAGTGTCTGTTCAGTTCCTTAGGCTATTTTTTTTACCCCCCCCTCCTTAGGCTATTTATTAATGGGTTGTTTTTTGGGTTTTTGTTGGTATTAAGTCTTTTGAGTTCTTTGTCTATCCTGGAGATACACAAAGAACTTTATCTGATGATCTATACAAATGCTCTATCTGATGTGCATGTGGTAAAAATTTGCCCCCATACTATAAGCTTTTTCTTCACCTCAATGACTATTTCTTTTGCTGAGAAGAAGCTTTTTAGTTTGAATGCATCCCATTTATGGATTCTTGATTTTATTTCTTGAGTTTTAGGAGACTTGTTAAGGAAGTCAGGGCCTAATCTGACATGATGAACATTTGGGTCAACTTTTCTTCTATTAGGCTCTCTGGTCTAATTTTTAGGTCTTTAATCCACTTTGAGTAGAGTTTTATGCATGGTGAGAGATAGAGGTTTAATTTAATTTTGCTACATATGGATTTCCAGTTTTCCCAGCACCATTTGTTGAAGAGGCTATCATTTCTCCAATGTATATTTTTGGTACCTTTGTCTAGTATGAGATAACTGTATTTATGTGGGTTGGTCTCTGTGTCTTCTATTCAGTACCATTGGTCTACATGTCTATTTTGTTGCCAATACCATG